TAAGCAAGGGTTCGGTGCTGCTGCTGGGTAGAAACAAGGTGCCGGGCTGGATAAAATAAGGGTGGAGGGTTGGATTCAGCCCTTGAGCCTTGTGTTTGTCGCCTGTGCTGTAATGGCTAATCTATGATTGTGAACTGCAAATAATGGGAAACAGTGATTGACCTATGGGAGGTGAATCATCTATGTATCTCCCTTTGGCATTAAAACTATTTTGCTTTCAGCTCCTATTTTTGAGGCCATCGCTGAAAAATGGGACTTTATGCACCTTGAAAGGGGTTTGCTGGTCCATGGGACTTGCAGAGCCAAAGCTGGAAAGGTGCTGGAGAAACTGAGATGGTTGGTTGCACTAACTCTGCTCCTCTACAGGTCCAGGTTCTCCTCACATAGCCTCATGCGATGCAGCTCCCTGGGTTGCCCCCGCCTAACAAGCTCACTTTTGTGATTGCAGTTTTGCTGTTTAACTTGTTCTAGGATAAGACCATGAGACTATGGAATATTGAAGACATTGACAGCATTCCTTTGGTAATGGAGTACAAAAAGGCCCTGGGCTTAAAGGTGAAACAGGTTGGTACTGGGTAAAATAAGGCGCAATGAAAGCTTTCATTAGTTACTACTACAATTAATTTATTCTTTGAAGAAACATTTATTGAGCAACTGGGGGTAAAACCATGAACAAACAGACTGAAATCCTTGCACTGAGGGAGCTTAAATTTTAAAAGGGGAGAAAAACAAATAAATAAAAATATTTAGTGCGTCACATAGTGATAAGTAATTTGGAGAAAAACAACATAGGGAAGGGGAATGAGAGTGCTGGAGGTTGCTCTGTTTCAAAGGGTAGACAGGATAGGTTTATTAAGGTGACAGTTGTTCAAAGACTTGAAGGAGGTGGAGGGAGTGAGACGTGCAGATGTTTAGGGGAAGAACTTCTCAGCAGAGGGAACAGCCAGTGTGGAGACCCTGAGTCAGGAGTGAGCCTCATGTATTTGAGGACTGATGTGAGAGGGAGGGACTGGGAAATGAGGCCTGAGGGGACACTAGGCACATAGCTGGACAATGTGCCAGCCTCCTGCACTCTGGCAGCAGACCCTCTGGCCAGGCCCCCAGTGCCCCATTTCCCATGGAGGGGGCTCAGGTGCCTGTTTCTCTAGCAAAAGATCATGGCGGTAGAGTGGACATATCTTCTACTTCCCCAGGTGCGGCCAGGGCTGACCACAGAGGTTCTCCCTGGGCAGTGGAGGTCTGTCTCTACTAGGACTACAGACCAGACGCCTGGCTGCCACCTTAAGAGGCTGAGGAGTCTATGCTTGGTCCTCTTGAGTCTTCCTTTCCTTAGAATCCCACAGCCGCCTAAGCTTGTCTCAGGTCTGGCTGGTAGCCAGTGCTTCTGAGAATGATTAATTTGGAAACAGCACTGTGGGGCAGGGAAATGAGGGGTGGACCCACATGGACCTCATCTTTGTGGCCAGCTGGTTCTCATGGCATTTGTGGTCATGTTGGCTCTCAGACTTGGAACCTGACTGGCTACAGAGCAGTGCTTGTCCCTGTCATTCAGGGGTTGGGACACGATAAATTATACTGTAGAATAAAGATGGTTTAATTTAAAAAAGAAAGAAAGAAAGGCTGGGTTTTCTCAGAGGGCCTGCTCCATGCAGGGTTTGCCCCATCTCTCCTGCAGTCCTCAGGGTCCTGAAATAGGCAAGGGTGGCAAAGTATAGGGGCTTGGGCTGCCAGAGCAGGGGCATGCTACATCGCAGGCTTGTCTTAGGGAACTATGTCGTAGTGAGAACTCCCGAGAGACCTCTGCCCATGGCCTGAGAGCCCAGGCATGGTGTTACCCACTTGTTTGTGGGAAGCAGATGCAGTGGTGAGCTGTGCTGTGGCATCCGCTGTTCTCTGTGTGCTTTGGCCTGAAACAGGCTCCAAGAGGGAGGAGAATGCTCAGCGTGTTCATCATCTAGTAAAAATTCCTGCTTTTTCAGAAATCTTGCATATTTCCTTCTCATGGTTTTGTAAAAGTGAGGTGCCCCCAGGATGTCAAAGAATTAGGATATCTCCTTGGCCCCATAGCTCTGCTCTGCATAGAGCAGAGGATGGGATTGGACCCCCTCCTCCTGGTCCTCTCCACTGCCAAATGGCTTGCCTCTCTTCCTCCCAGAAGTACTTGCATAACTTCTGGAAGAGAGGAAGAAGTCTGTGCTCACACTTTCTCAGTGGCCTATAATTTCCACCCTTGTTTGGGGAGAGGCCCCAGAGAGGAGAGGTACCTCTCACCCTGACCTAACCCAAGGTAGTTGGATCAGGTGGGAGAATTCTAACTGCATGCCTTGATCCTCTCTGACTAGCACCTCCTTTCTGCTTTTTAAATATTTCATGTCAGTGTGAAGAATGTGACAGGCCTTTCTCCAACTATGAAAATGACATCTTTTCTGAAATAGTCACCAAATGTGTGTTCTGTCGGATGGATGCACAACACTTGTCAGCGGAGACCTCATCATCACCAGAAAAGGACTCATCAGCAAGCGGGTATAGCCTGGGCGAGGATGACTAATGGCCATCTGATCCTTTGAGTGACTTGAACACAGGCTACCTGTCATGTACATGTCAGAGCTCTGCAGAGATCTTTCTCTGGGGTCCTTCCCTGGCTGGGTGGACCTATTCTATCAAAGTGAGGCAGGGGCCAAGCCCTCAGTGGGCTCCCACCACGCCACCTCCTCAGCCCCACTCCACCTTTTTTTTTTTTTCCCACAGCACCCCTATTGAGTAGGATTGGATCCTTTCTTTTTAGTTTTTAGATAGAATAAACTTAGAACCTTTTGGAAAACTAGTATGCATGTGAATTCCAGAAGCATTTTTGTTATTTATAAGCTTATGTCTTATTCATCCAGACATGTCTGGATTCCCATTCTAGTCTCTGTTGCTAGAGACTAGAATTCCCATTCTAGTCTCAGTTGCCCTGTAAGGCAGCTCTTTGGGGCTGGCACTAGTAGCCACTGAGGAAGGGCTTGTGGGATGAAGAAGAAAGAGTGTGGGACCCCCTCTGTGGAGGAGACTGTAGATGCTTCCCTGTCTAATGCTCCCAGATGGCCACCTGCCCAGAGCAGAGGAAGGTCTGATTAGACAGGCATGTGGTGGGCTTTTCATCGCAGAATGTTTCATGCTCTCCACTCCAGACTTTTCAATTTCCAGCATGCCTCTTCCTGCTTCCACAGCATATCTACAACATCACTTCAGAAGTGAAGGTTTCAGTTGGCAGACATAAAGGGCTCCCTTGTGCATTTGGTATTGTTCACATGATTCCTGTCGAATATCATTCACATGCCCCTTGATCCATTTTAAAAGCTTAATTGCAGGACTGCTTTATTTAGTGCAGGTGACTAGCATCCACTAATTCTGCCCAGGAGCACATTAACCTTGTAGTCATTCTTTGGGGGAAGTCCTGTGCTTTGTGCTGTCCTCCTCAGTTACAACCCTAGTGACTGCTCAGACTTGAGCTGGCTGGTCAATAGTTATCCATTCATGTAATGATGTATGAACATGTCAAAATTCTAACTCTAGCTCTCTCAGCCATTCGGCTCTCCCTCGAAGAAAAGTTCTATTGCCAGTGGTCTCTGTTTTCCAACACATGGATGTATACTTCCCTTTTCTGTGGAGGATGGGTGGACTACTACACCAACACTGCCCTCACTAATGGGCACTTAGGTTGTTTCTTGTTTGTCTGCTATTACAAGTAATACCGAAGTTAATTTTCTGGTGCATATATATTTTTTCAGAAATTTACATTTCTGTGGAGGAGACTCTCCCAGCCGAGTGATTGCTGGGTGGAATGGATTAGCAGGGTATGGTTTTGTTGTTGCTCAAAGGCTCTCTAAAGTGTTGGGACAACGTCGCTGGTAGGTCTGAGTGAGGAGACCCAGGCTGGGCAAGTGAGAAGCCTAGCTAGATGGGAAGGGCCTTGCCTGGAAGCAGAATCCTCCCCATGACTGGCGTTGGTGCTCCAAAGCCAGTGTCCCTGGACTCTTCCGCTTTCAAACATGGGTCTGGTCTCGACAGAGACCAGACTGGTAGATGAGGCTCCAGGATGACAGGGTCTTTGATACCAATAGTCAGAGTGAGGCCAAGGTGGTCTGCAGAGGAGGGCGCCAGTGCGAGGAGTACGATGCGTGGTCCACCGCGGGGTGTGTGCCCAGACCCATCGCCGGGATAGTGGGCAGCCGACCGCACTAGCGAGGCAGGGATCTCTGGAGTGGGAGGTGATTCGGCCCCACGAGACAGCCTGGTGGAGTTCCCTAAGTCAGTTTTGGAGGGCGGAAGGCCCAGACCTTGAACAAACATCCTCCAAAGAGGGAAGCCTCCCTGGCTCCAGGCCCCAACTCGGACGTTAAAGAGACCCGGAAGAGAAACCTGTTCCAGCTCGGCTCCCCACGCGCCGCCGGAGCTTCAGCTCAACCACAGTAGCCTGAATAAAAGCCTAAATCACGCATGCGCCGACCACCAGCAAAAGTCATGCGCATGCGCGGGGCTGGTGGAGTAAATAGTAATGAGATAGAGATTCTCGCGGTACCTGTGCGGGCGGCGCCGTGGCTTAGTTGGTTAAAGCGCCTGTCTAGTAAACAGGAGATCCTGGGTTCGAATCCCAGCGGTGCCTCAACCGAGCACCTCGGCTCACTTTTTGCCCACTTCCAACTTCGCTCGGCACCTCTACCCTGCTCCTTCCCGTTTTGAGTGTGAAGGTGGCTCTGAGGAGTCATTTTAGAGGACGCGCCACCCTGGGAGTCCGCCCCTCAGGTCTCCGAGAGCTGCGGCACGTCTTCCACTTCGAAAACTGCCCCGAGTGGACACCCCCAGGGGGCGTTGTGGGACCACCGGGCTGCTGCTGTGTGTGCGGGACCGCAGAAAAGCTGGCGGAGGCGGTGACAGCCGGGGGCGGGGTGCGGCGGGCGCGGGGGTGGAGCTGCGGTGCGGAGGGGGCGGTGGGGAGGCGGAGCTGGGCTTTCCTCCCCGGGTTTCTGCCGCCGGCCGCTGACCGCACGCCTTGCACCTCTCTCAGGTCTGCTTTCTCCTCTCCGACCTTTGCAGCCGCTGCCGCCATTTCACAGGTGGAAGAGTGGGGCTTAGCGAGGTCAAATGAGGCCCGAAGTCAGGGGCGGCTGCGAGAGCGCAGCGTTGAATCTGGTCAGCGTGTCCCCGAGGCTGATCAAAGTGTGAAAACTCTGGGGAGGGAGCGGATCTAGCCGTGCTCTGAGTTTGGAGCCGGCTTCTCCGGGGCCCAGGGTGAGGCTGCGTCCTAAGGTCCGGGCACGGTGGGCGGGGGCGGGGACGGCAGGGTGCCTGACCCAGAGCAACTGCGGTGAACTCTCTGGGGCGCGGCGAGGCATTAGAAAGTTTTTAAAACAGTTACCCAGGAATTTTGATGTGAAACTCAAAATTCATGTCGTTCGCAGTAGGACAGTTTCAGTGAGCTGCGGAAATTGCAGTTATGGCATCAGCCTGTGTTCCCAACAGTCAAATTCACCTGCCCCAGAAGCAGCTCTTCTCTTTGTTTCTCCCATGGGTGTGGGTTTATTATCTGTTTTTTAAAATTTTGTTTGGGGGTCGATTTCTTAACCTTTACAGCTTGGTTGTTTTTATTGACATTGCAAAGAACAACCTGTTGCAGATCTGATAGAAACATCAGGGATGAGTTTGTTGGTAACAGGGCTTGAGTCATTGTGGGGTAGTTTTCTGGCACGTGTTTACTGCTAACCTGAGGTATTGGGTTGGCCAAAAAGGGTATTTTTTGTTTGTTTGTTTCTCTGTATGATGGCTGTAGTAGCACTTAGTTACAAGCAAAAAATGCTTTTTTTGCTTGTTTAACGTCATTTGAAACAATCTTGTTAGGTTGTATTGTGACAGCTGTCATATCAGCGGGTATTAAAAAAACTTATTAACATTGGTGAATTTTTGTGTAACCATTTTAATATCGAAGATGGAAGAAAATATGCAACATTTTGGAATATTATGCTTAATTATTTCAAGAAAGGTAAAAAGAAACTGAAATTAAAAAAAAAAAAAGGATGGTGTATGGAGAAGGTGCTGTTTTGTGAGAAGTTTCATGCTGGACCATCCACACAGTTGGGTAGACCAGTTGAAGTTGATAGCAGTCAAATGGAAATGTTAACTGAGAGCAAACAGCTTCTACCATGCAAGAGGTAGCTGACATAAAATAGCCAAACAATATAGTTATTGGTGAAAATTAAAAATGTGTGTTTATTTTACAGAAAAAAACCTAAATGGACTTTTTGAGCACTTGCTTATTGGGTGGCCAAGGGGAGAGGTTTAATTTCATTCAAAAATTTTTTTTTTTTAGTTTTCAGAGTATGTTTTGTAAATTTTTTGTTAAATTTATCCCTCAGTATTTTCTTCTGTGTGATATTATTGTAAATGGAATTGCTTTCTTACTTAGATTTTCAGATTGTTTACTGCAAATGTATAGAAATACAATTGATTTTGTATTTTAATCTTAAGTCCTGCAACCTTGCTGGATGCATTTATTAGTTCTAATAGGTTTTTAGTGAATCCCTTAGAGATCGTCTATTTCCTTGGATTTTTCTATATACAAATTCTGTGTTTTGTGAATAGTTTTACTTTTCTTTTTTCATTCTGAGTGTCTCTTATATCATTTTCATACCTAACTGCTTTGGCTAGAACCTCCAGTACAATATTAAATAGTAGTGGTGAGAGCACACATCTTTGTTTTTTTTCCTGATCTTAGGGGCATCCAGTCTTTCATACTTAATACTTTATGAAATAATGATTTTAGCTGTGGATTTTTCATAGATGCCTTTATCAGGTTGAAAGGGTTTGATTAGGAAGTCCCTTTGATTCCTAATTGGTTGACTGTGTTGAATTTTACAAAATGCTTTTTTTGCTTGTTAAAATAATTATGTGGTTTTTTTCTACTAATATGATGTATTATGTTAATTCATTTTCAGATGTTGAGTCATCCTTGCATTACTGGGATAATTACCATATGCATGTGTTTTTAACATAAATGATCAACATGTTATTCTTGAAAGTCTTTCCAGGTGGTGCTCTTGGTTTCAGTATATTCTCACTTACCACTTCCCAGGCACCCAGGCTTGGCTGTGTGGCTGTTACATGAATCAGAAGACCCCTCTCTTGCTGGTGGATACTGAAGTGGTGTGGGTTTTTTTGGTTTTGTTTTTTCTGAATGTCAACACAATAGACAAAGCTGGGATGTCACTTCCCTCACACACAGGTTTTTTGTGCTGGAGGGGTTTTTTGTTTTTAATTGATTTTAGAGAGGAGGAGGAGGAGAAGAGAGAGAGAGAGAAAGAAAGAGAAAGAAACATTGACTTGTTGTTTGACTTATTTATGTATTTGTTGGTTGATTCTTGTATGTGCCTTGATCTGGGATCAAACCCACAACCTTGGTATATTGATTGGGATGACACTAACCAACTGAGCTACTAGGCCAGGACCTGTGCGCATGTGAGTTTTTCAAAGACAAAGTTGAGAGAGGCTTTTTGAGTATAGTATGTACAAGCCACACTGATTTCCCCCTCCTTGAGTTTTTCTGGAGTACCCATTCCTTCATGGGTCATACATATAAGTTCCTTGGCTTATATTTCCTATACTACTCATAACCTACCCCTGTCAATTTTGTACCTACCAATTATACTTCTTATTCCTTATACCTTTTCCCCAGTTCTCCCCCTCCATTTGGTCTCTATTTCTATGATTCTGTTCCTGTTGTAGTTGTTTGCTTAGTTTGCTTTTGTTTTTTTTCGGTTCAGTTGTTGATAGTTGTGAGTTTGTTGTCCTTTTACTGTTCATAGTTTTGATCTTCTTTTTCTTATATAAGCCCTTTTCATATTTCATATAATAAGGGCTTGGTGATGATGAACTTCTTTAACTTGACCTTATCTGGGAAGCACTTTATCTGCCCTTCCATTCTAAATGAAAGCTTTGCTGGAGAGAGTAATCTTGGATGTAGGTCCTTGCCTCTTATGACTTGGAATACTTCTTTCCAGCCCCTTCTTCCCTGCAAGGTTTCTTTTGAGAAATCCGCTGACAGTCTTATGGGAACTCCTTTGTAGGTAACTGTCTCCTTTTCTCTTGCTGCTTTTAAGATTGCTCTCCTTATCTTTTGTCTGGGGTAATGTAATTATGATGTGCCTTGGTGTGTTCCTCCTTGGGTCCAACTTCTTTGGGATTCTCTGAGCTTCCTGGACTTCCTGGAAGTCTATATCCTTTGCCAGATTGGGGAAGTTCTTCATCATTATATTTTCAGATAACTTTTCGACTTCTTGCTCTTTCTCTTCTCCTTCTGGCACCTCTATGATTTGGGTGTTGGGCTGTTTAAAGATTTCCTGCAGGTTCCTAAACCTCTCCTCATTTTTTTGAATTATTGTTTTTTCATTCTGTTCTGGTCGAATGTTTCTTTCTTTCTTCTGCTCCAACCATTGATTTGAGTCCTGGTTTCCTTCCTTTTACTGTTGGTTTCCTGTATATTTTTCTTTATTTTATTTTGTATTGCCTTCACCTCTTCCTTTATTTGACATCCATACTTGATCATTTTTGTGAGCATCCTGATTACCAGTGTTTTAAACTCTGCATCTGATAGATTGGCTATCTCACCGTTGCTTAGTTCTTTTTCTGGAGTTTTGCTCTGCTCCTTCATTTGGGCCATATTTCTTTGTCTCAGCCCACCTGTTACATTGTAAGGAGTGGAGGCTTAGGTATTCTCCAGGTGTGGCAACCCATGTGGTTATGTTATCACACTGTGTGTGGGGGAGGGGTCAGAGAGGGAACAATGCCTCCTGCTCAGCCCTTGGCCAGCTTTCAGTCACTTTGCCCGCTACCCACAAGCTAATTGACTATTTCTGTTGCTGATTCCCAGGTGGGTGGCTTTGTGTATGTTCTTGGACCCTGTGGGTCCCTCCAATGGACTCTCCTATGAGACTGGGAGTTTATCTTGCTGCCACAACCCCCACAGGTTTTTACAGCCAGATGTTTTGAGGCTTTATTTCCCCACGTGGGGATCCTGGGTTGCATGGTCTGTCTCACTCCCCAGCTGTTCCTCCCAGTTTATCCACATTGAATGTGGGACCACCCAGTCTGCCAGTCATGGTCTCACCCACCTGTTCTGGCAGCTGCCACCTTGCTGTGTGTCCTTTCTGCTTCAGCTACTCATTTCTGTTCCTCCTACCAGTCTGGATGAATGTTTTTTCTTCAACTCATTGGTTGTTGGACTATTGTACAGTTTGACTTTCTGGAAATTCTGGTTGTTTTTGTTTTTAAATTTGTTGTTGTCTTTCTTTTGGTTGTGTGAGGATACAAAGTGTATCTACTTATGCCTCCATCTTGACCAGAAGTGCAGGAATGGACTTCTGATGCTTATATCAACGTAGATAAAATTGTACATGGTACAGTATGGAGGTTATGATTCCACTTATATGAATGTTGAGAAAATGCCAGTAAATCTATAGAGAGCAGATCAGTAGTTGCCTGTGTGGTTGAGGGACTGACTGAGAAGGATCACAAAAGAACTTTGGGGGGTGATGGAAATGCTCTTTATCTTGGTAAGGATGTGGGTATGTTTTTTTAAAAACTCATTTAATTGTACACTTAAGATCTGGTCACTTCACTAAATGAAAGTGAATCTCATTTAAAATGTTACAGCAATAAAAGTCATGTTGACAGCAGTCTGGATCTTCACCCCAGTCTGCCCACCCTCAGTTCCATGCAGTTTTAACTCTTCTTGCCCGTTGCCTATGTCCTCATTTCAGGGCCAGGCCTCAATTTGGGGGCTGCTTCATCACCCCCTATTTCTACCTCCTGTTCAATTCCATCCTAAGGGGTTTCAGATAAAGGGTCATCTGGGCTAGTTGAGCAGAAATGTGCACACTCTATTAGCTGCTTCCCAGGGAGTCCAAAGATGCCACTGGCTTCTGGGTGGGGTGGCTCCAGGGTCTCTGGCAATGCCTTAAGGACCCACTCATTCTCTGTCTCTTGGCTCTGCTTCCTTTGGGGCTACTTCCATTTCGGGCAGGAGAGGAGTTGGCTGCCAGTGGCCCCAGACTGACATCCATTGCCTCACCCACTCAGGATAGAGTTTCCTATTGCTTTGAAATCTTGGGCTGAGTTGGTAAGCCAGAGTTGGGTCTCAGGCTTTTCCTGGATGTGATCTCTGAGATCAGGGGAAGGAATATAAAATGTGCAATGATTGGCTCAGGTCTGGGTCACAGGTGAATCCCTGGACCTGCAGGGTGGGGGTATGGTTGCCGATCAGCTCCACTCACCACCTGGGCTGAATCGAGGGCCCAAAGACAACCTGGAGCAGAGAAAAGAAGGCTGGGTTGGCAAAGCCCACAATGTCCCCTTGTGGTCCTGGTGACACATTAGCATATGCTCCTGAATGACTTGAAAGACCCTCTAGGGGACCCTTGAAAAATCCCTTCATTGCTGAGCACAAAAACAAAACAAAGCAAAAAACAAACATAGGAAGAAAGATACATGCAATGGGATAGTGTCATGCTTAAAAAACCCTCCAAGACCCATGTGGCTCAGTTGGTTGGTTGTTGTCCCACAAAGCAAGGGGTCACTGGTTCAACATCTGATGTTTCTCTTCCTCTCTCCTTCCCTCTTTCCTCCCTCTCTCAAAAAGCAAAACAAAACAAAAAACCCAAGACCAAAGTTGAATGGTGTATTTTCTATGGGTACACATATAAGCATGTTAAACAAATTTTCTTTAGGGTCAGGAAGGCACCTATTAAATTTATTTTAGTGTTTACCTCTGGAAAGGTGGAGAGGAGACTGGAATGAGGTATCAAGAGGGCTTTGGCTTTATGTATACTGGACTAGTACTCTGGTTTCTCTTCAGAGTGTATAAACCTTTCACCTTTTTTATATGTACTGGACTAAATCCTAAAATTTAATTACAAGTAATTTATGTAATTACTTGTAATTTATGTAATTAATAAAACACTGTTTTTGATGTATAGTTTTTAGTTTTGACAAATGCATAAAGTCATGCCACTACCACAACAATCATGATAAAGAACAGTTTTATCACCTCCAAAATATTCCTTGTATTAGTGGCATGGGATCAAAAGTATACCTATTTTTGTCATGTCAGCAAAAAAAATTTTTTTGGAGTGCCCCAGAAGTTTAGTAATTAGTTTTTGTGTGCCATGAGGTTGAAAAGTCACTGCCGTAGGGCAAATACCTATCAGTGGGATTGTTGGATCATTGGAGAAATGCATGTTGACCTTTATAAGAAAATATACACTGGTTTCCACAATGCCTATGCCATTTTTAAAAAATGTATTTATATTTTTTAAAGATATTATTTATTTATTTTTAGACATAGGGGAAGGAAGGGTAAAAGTAGGGGAGAAAAGCACTGATGTGTGAGAGAAACAGTGATCGGAGACCTCTCACACACCCCGACGGGGGACCTGGCCCACAACCCAGGCATGAGCCCTGACTGGGAACCCTCTGGGCCATGCTGCTCAGGGCACCTGTACCATTTTTCATTCCCACCAGCATCGTATGAGAGCTCAGGTTGCTCTGCTACTTCACCAGCTCTTCACCTTCAGTGATGTTATTTTAGCCATTCCAGTAAGTGTGTAGTGGTTTCTATTTGTGGTTTATTTTTTTTTTTAATTTTGAACTAATTTCAGACCTACTGCAAAAATAGCATTGAGTGTTCCTATGTATACTCTTTACTCATCAGCACCCCTAATATCAACGTATGTAATCATGGTACATTTATTGAAAGAAATTAACATTGGTGCCATTCTATTAACTAACTACAGACCTTTCAGGTTTCCATTGTTTTCCACTAGTGTTCCTTTTTGATTCCAGGATCCAGGCTGGGACCCCATGTTGCAGGTGGTCTTCCTATCTCCTTGGTCTCCTCCATAGGTGACACTTCCTCAGTCTTCATGACTCTGCCTTTTATGACATGGACACTTTTGAAGAGTACTTGTCAGGTATTTTGTGGTATGTCCTTCAATTTAAATTTTTCTGATGTTTTTTCATAGTTAATTAGACTGCGATTATGGATTTTGGGGGAGAATACCATACCAGGTATTCTTATTGCTACCGGGTGTATTCTGGGTACCAGTGTGCTTATTGCTACCGAGGTGTCACTGCTTCTAGGCCCTCTCAGCAGAGTTGGGGGATTTTAGGTATGTCGTCTAAACATGCATATGCATATATCTGTATTTCTGTATGCCCATGTATATGCTTTAAAAAAGGAGATCACACTGATGTTTCTGACTCCAGTCTAGCACCATAGGATTTGTTCTAGTGTACCTCCTTGCTTTTCTTCTCTTAGTCAGTGAAAAACCCGTCTCTCTCATTATTTCTGATACATTTATTTATTTGTTCAATCCTGCATTTGAAATTGTTTCAGAATTCATAGCCTGTATCTGTTTGAGGAACATCATTGTCAACCAGAGTATTTCTCTTCACCTCTTTTTTCTTTAGTCTTATAGTATCTGGTCAAAATATCATCTTAGCTCCTTTCTTCTTCATCAGTTTCAGTGTGGGTGACCCACTCATTTATAAACACTCATTTGTCACATAGTGCATTCCATCTCAATTCCATGACCTTATGGGCAATTTCTAAATAGTTTCATAAAGTAAAATTTACTCTGTGTGGTGTACAAAGCTATAACTTTCAAACTGATTTTGCATCATTGAACCAGCCTTGCATTCCTGAGATAAGCTCCATTTAGTTGTGATTTATTACGATTTTAATGTATTGCTAGGTCAAATCTGCTAATTATTTGTTGAGGAGTTTCATGTCAATGTTCATGTGGTATATTGGTCTATAATTTTCTTTTCTTGTAAAGCCTTTCTCTGGGTTTGGTATCAGGATAAATCTGTTCTCATATAGTGAATTGGGAAGTACCTCTCCTGTTTTATTTTCCTAAAAAGGTTGTGTAGAATTGATAAGATTTCTTCCTTTATTGTTTGATAGAATTCACTAGTGAAACCATATGGGCATGAAACTTCCTTTGTTGGAAGGCTTTCATGACATATTCCATCTCTGATCCATTTAGCACTACTTACTTTATTTTTTTCTTGAGTTGAGCTTTGGTAGTTTGCTATAAAGCTAGACATATATTTATGTTTACAACTCAACAATCCAGCTCCTAGATGTTTACCCAAGTGAATTGAAAACTTATGTTCATACCAAAACCTTTTAATTCAGAAGTTCATGGCAAGTTGTAGGACACACTAATAGGAATATCTGAGAATGGCAACCGCTTGGTGTCAATTCCTAGGGCTTCAAGACGAGGTACCCTCGAGGTACGAGACACCCTAGCCTTCAGCCACTACTGGACACCTGACCCAGGATGGCCTACACAGAAGAGTACCCCGTTTGCTTGGGCCAATCAGAGACCTTTTATAGAATTTGGAACCTGGGTGGCTTCCCTGTAATGGGCAGACTCGGTGTTGTGGGTGGCGGTGGTGGTGGGGAGCCATGTTTTCTGCCATGTGGTTGCAGGAAACAGAGGAACCTGGGGGAATATAATAGATTAGGCACAAGGAAGGAGACTGGGAGAGAGATTTGAACCAAAGATTTGTTCCCAAACTTCCCTGTGCATTCCTGCCCTGAGCTCTGGGACACATCCTAGGCCAGATTCTTTTAGGAAAAGTCGAGTCAGGTTTCTATTACTTGCAGCAGAGAGTGTTCTAATGCTCAAATGTGTCTCCTTGACAATTTGTTTCTTTCCAGAGAGGAGAGTTTTCCCATATCACCGCCACTCTCTCTCAGCTGGCTTCCTCCTTCTTAGTGTAAGTGGTGAGCTACTGTGGTGAAACCGTGCCGCACAGCTCCTCACTTTTATCTTTCATAGAGTGAGATAAATCCACCCTGACTTCCTGCAGGGAGGATCTTGCCTGGAAGAGGATACTCAAAGGGCCACCTGGACTAGGATGTCGTAGGTGGGGACACTTAGCCCAGAGGTCATCTGACTTTTGGGCTAAGATACATCAAAGAGTGACAATGACAGTTGGGATAAAGATTTGGGATTTTTGTCTTCCGAGGAGCAAAAATCAAACTGGTGTTACCTTGAAAGTGTTAAAATGTTCTTGAGCTATTATTATTATTATTTTAGACTTTAGACTTTATTGATTTATTTTGCTTTTTAAAAAATTATATTTTATTGATTATGCTATCACAGTTGTTTCAAATTTTACCCCTTTGTCCCCCTCCACCCAGCAACCCCTACTTCCTCAAGCTATCCCCACACCATTGTTCATGTCCATGAGTCATGCATGTAAGTTCTGTGGCTTCTCCATTTCCTATACTGTATTTTACATCCCCGTGGCTATTCTGTAATTACCTATTTGTACTTCTTAATCCCCTCACCTCTTCACCTACTCCCCCACACCTGCCTCCATCTGGCACCCATCTCAAAATGCTCTCCATATTCATGATTCTGCCTCTGTTCTTCTTGTTTGCTTAGTTTGTTTTTTAGATTCAATTGTTGATAGATGTATATTTATTGCCATTTTATTCATAGTTTTGATTAAAAAAATAAGTTTCTTTAACATTTTATATAATAGTGGTTTGGTGATGATGAACTCCTTTAGTTTTTTTCTTGTATGGGAAGCTCTTTATCTGCCCTTTGATTCTAAATGATAGCTTTGCTGGGTGGAGCAATTTTGACTGTAGGCCCCTGCTTTTCATGACTTTGAATATTTCTTGCCAACCCCTTCTAGCCTGCAAAGTTTCTTTTGAGAAACTGACAGTGTTATGGGAACTCCCCTATAGGTAACTAACTGTTTTTCTCTTGCTGCTTTAAAGATTCTCTATCATTAACCTTTGGCATTTTAATTATGATGTGTCTTGGAGTGGGCCTTTTTTCACTCATCTTGTTTGGGACTCTCTGTATTTCCTGGATTTGCTTGTTTGTTTCCTTCACCAAACTAGTGAAGTTTTCTTTATTTTTTCAAACAGATTTCCAGTTACTTGCTCTTTCTCTTCTCCTTCTGGCGCTCTGATGATGCGAATGTCGGAACACGTTCAGTTGTCTCAGAGGCTGCTTACACTATCTTCGTTTGTGTTCTCTTTTTTCTTCTTGTTCTGATTGGTTGATTTTTGGTTCCTTATATTCCAAGTCATTGATCTGATTCTCAGCTTCTTCCACTTTACTGTTGTTTCCCTGTGATTTATTCTTTATTTCAATTAGTGTATCCTTTGTTTCTGATTGGATATTTGTTATGGTTTTGAGGACCTCACTAAGTTCCTTGAGCATCCTTATAACTAGTGTTTTGAACTCTGCATCTAATAGATTTCTTATTTCCATTATGTTTTGTTCTTTTCCTGGAGTTTTGATTTGTGCTTTCATTTGGGCCCTGTTTCTTTGTCTCCTTGTTTTGGCAGCTTCCCTGTGTTTGTTTCTATGTATGAGGTAGAGCTGCTTTGACTTCGTGTCTTGGTAGTGTGGCCTAGTGTAGTAGATGTCCCTTAAGGTCCAGTGGCACAGCCTCCTCTGTCACGGAAGCTGGGTACATGAGGTGCACTCTTCGTGTGGACTTGAGATGCACTCTCCTCTTGTGGTATTGATTGATGTTGGCAGGCAAATGGAAGTGATATACCCAGGCCAGTCAGCTGCACATGATAGGGGACTCAAAAGTTGGAAAATTTTAGTTTAAGTAATAGCTAATAAGCTTAGTAATCAATGCATGTAAAAGCTATTGTTTTAGGAACTGAAGGTATGACCCACCTTGACTCTAGGAGACCATAAGCAGCTCCACCTTTGTGTCTCCGGAGGACTACAAGCAATTCAAGATGATATTTGAGCCATTGTACTCCAGAGTGAGAGGACCACTGCCCAGGGTGAGAACGCTGCAGTTTTTTTAATTCACTTAACTTTTCCCTGAATTCCAAAACCCTTATCTACACTTTGTTCTTTTTATAAAATGGCCCATTTTAAAATGGAATTCGAGATGATCTGTTAGGGTACATATCTGTTATTTTCTCAGATCTCTGGCCATCTGAATAAAGCGCCTATAGATTCAACTCCTGTCTCCACTTACTGGGTCTGGTAGGTGACAGGCAGCACAAACATCAGCTTTTCTGGTTTCACAAGGACTGGCTGTGACCACTGACCACCATCCTCCACACTCCACCCTCTGTGGAGGACCAGGTGTGCAGGGCAGGGTGGAGTTGCTCTGATGTGGTCTGTAGCTGTCCACTGGCTGTACAGGGTCTGAGGTTTCCTGGATGGTGCAGGCCACGGTCAGTCCCAACCTGTGCTCAGGCATGGGGCCACTCTGCATGAGCTATAAAACAATCTGAGGTGGCTGCTACTTGGGCTGGGCTTGGAGATTCCCAGGCAAAGCTAAGCTGTGAATCTAGGCTGGCTGCTACTAGTTCTGTGCGTGGGGCCACTTAGCAAGAGGTACAAGGGCTGGGGGCTCACTGAGGTCCGCTGCTACTTGTCTGAGAGGATTTAGGAAGTTACGAAGCATGAGCCAAGACCAGCCATTCATATGGAAAATTCAGTCAGCATTTGGGTGGACCCATAAGTTGGGTGGGATGGAGTCTCAGGGGATCTTCAAGGCAGGGCAAACAGTGTTAGCCTTGTTGATGGAGTCTCAGATATGGCGCCCACCTACCAGCTCTGTGGCTTTGTTGGGGGAGGGCTCAAAAGAAGGACAGTGGCTTCTGCCTACCTTTCTATCTGGGAGAAAGCTGTCCCCTGGCCCTCACCTTGATGCCAGACACTTCAGTTTCTCCCTGTGGTCCACTGGTGCCCGTCAGACGGCTACACCTGTGCCTGAGTTCAGAGAGAATGAGTCTGAGTAACTCTTTGGGGTTCTTTAAGGGGAACTGCTTGGGACTCCAGAAGTTTCTTCCACTGACTCAATCCGCGCTGAATCCCCAGATGTTATAGGGACTTATCTTCTTGGCACTGGAACCTTGGATGTGGAGGCCTGATGTTGGGCTGAGACTCCTTGCTCCCAAGATATCCCTCCTGAGTTTTTATTCACCTCACGTGGATGTGGGACCAGCCCATTCCACATCTCTGCCCCTCCTGCTCGTTTGGATGGATGTGGTGTCTTTATTTCTGCAGTTGGCAGACTTCCATTCAGCTCAATTTCTGATGGTTCTGAGTTGTGATTGTTCTATATGTTAACTGTGATTTTGATGTGGTTGTTCAAGAGTTGTGCCGTGTTTACCTGTGCTGCCATCTGGACTGGAAGTCAAGAGCTCTTATTATTGTTGTCATCAGTATTATTGTCATAACTGGACTTAACTGTGGAGCCACTTTAGGTGGAATCAAATTAGACTTTGTCTCTTGCTGAAATAATTAAGGAGACTAGAGTTATTTTTACCTCTTTATTAATAGAATTTTTTTAAACTAAAGAAAAATGATTATCTCTTGGTTTTCTAAGTAGCATAGAGTCTTATTTAAATAAATAGTTGAATGTACTGTGGGGACGAACATATCTGTTCCACATTCTCTAGGGGGAAAATTATATCCTTGTTTTTTGTCCAATTTCCTTTGCTGACAATAGGGATTCAAGTGTAAGAAAGCCTGCACAAAGGATCTTGGTGACCTCCTGTCCGCATGCAAGCCACTAGGTGCCACAAATGATGTGAAGTTGAACTTGGCCTTGGTTACCTGAGAAAATGTGGATTTATAATTCCAGTGCTGGATAAGTGAGGTTTAGGAGCTTGAAGGAAACCTATAAGCTTTTGGTGCTGATTGCTTCAGCTGCTGGGATGCTGATGATTCACATACTTTTAAAAAATCTTGGAAACCTGCTAAAGGAGGAATTCCAAAGCATATTCTTTTTCTTGACAAATTTGCCCTCTGAGAGGCTTAATGAGGCACAATTTTATTTGGTACTTTTCCTGAGGGTAGTGCATGTTCCTCTTTATTTCTGAATACTTTCTTCCTTAAAGAAATTGCAGAAGCTAGGAATAGGCAATTCACAGAGGAAGAAAAGCAAATAGCCAATAAACATGAAAAGATGTTCAATCGAATAAATGCAAATGGAAGCAATGAGATATTTTTCCTCCAGCCATGTAAGAACATATTCCATAAAGGCTGATGATAAGCCCCAGAATTGCAGAGAAACCTAGCACTTTTTATCTGTCGCTGAGCTTCAGTGTTTAAGCTGCTCCCTGTGCCTCAGAAACCAGACCACCAGGCACTCACTCATCTTAAAGACCTGGCTGATCCTTTGTGAGGATGAAGACCAAGGTCATTTACTGAAGCTCGATCAGGACAGAGACAAGAAATGACCTAATGCCCACCAGCAGGGACGCAGTAGACAGATGACACGTCTGGCTCTCTCTGGAGTGGGGGACAGGTGCTCAGAAGGAGGGGCAGAACTTTGTATGCGAATGTGGGCATGTTGTGATGTACTGGCAAATAAAACAGTTACAAACCTTGCGTAGTATGATTCTGTCTCCATAGAAAATCTGTATGTGTGTTTGAAAAAGTAGTCTTGTCAGTCACAAAAGCACAAATAACGCATGATTCCACTTATATGAGGTACCTGGAGGAGTCAAATCTACAGAAACAGCAAGTGATGGTTGCCAGGGGCTGGCAGAGGGGAGAATGGAGAGTTAGTGCTCAGTGGGAACGGGGTTTCCCTTGGGAAGGTGAGAAGGTTCTGGAGATGGATGGATGGATGGTGGTAATAGCTGTACAACAGTGTGAATGTACTTAATGCCGCTGAAAATAGTTAAAATGATAAATTTTATATTATGCACATTTTACCACAATAATTTTTTTTGAAGCAGCCAGGATATTTGCAAAATAAAGTGTTATTCTCTGTGTCATCAGTCTTTGTTGTTGTTTTTTTTACAATGAACATTCATTACTTTTATATTCTGTGAGCCCATCTTGGCCAACCAGTGAGCTGTGGATTCATTGAATACCTCTATTTCCATTAAAATTTAAAAATGTTATTATGTAGACCTGGAACCTGCCCCCACACTTTACTTCAGGTGTTGCTGTTTGAAAACTGTTTCTTAAGAAGCTACGTGTATTTCGTGCTACTCTCCCTTACCCCTTTCATCCCTACCCTATATTTTCCTACAAGAATGGTTGAAGGGCCAGACTCGGGGCATGGGTCCTGCCACCTTGTAGAACATCAGTTTTGGCCCATGCAACCAGCTCTTAACCACAGTGGGCACCAGAGGAGTTCGTGGGACAGGTAGAGGACATTCTGGAGGCAGTCCATGGGCACCAGCTTGGCACCGGCAGCCCCAAAGACCAGCCACCAAACTCCTCACCCCCATTTCCTGCCCCCACTTCCCACCCCTACCCTCCCTGCTCTGGAATCAGGGCTTCAGAGAGGTGGTGATTGGCTGATCTTGGTCATGTGCCTGTCCATGCTTGCAGAGAGCAGAACAGAGTGTCAATTAGTAGACCTCTGGACTTCTCATAATGGCAAAGGGCAAAGCAATCGCAAAAGGAAACCGAGGCATGGAACATTTTTACAAGCTGTTCCTTCTGCCTCCAAACCTTTGCCTGATTAGCTCCTTGTTATTTACTTCTCAGCCTGAAGGCCACCTATGCAGGCTTTGGCCACCCTGGTGCATCCCTCTGCCCGGCCACCTGAGATCCCTCCATCCTGATCCCGTGGTTTATTTTCTGCACTTATCTTCCCTTCAGGGTGCTGTGCTCCCTTATCTACCTGCATGTTTAGAGTCATGTCTCCTTAGTCAGGTGCAGTGGCCATAACAACACCACAGACAGGGCCTAAACGATGGAAATGCCTTCCTGCACAGTTTTGGAGCCTGGAAGTCCTAGATCAAGGTGTCAGAGGTTTGATTTCTTGACACCTCTCTCCTTGGGTTGCAGATGGCTGCCTTCTTATGTTCTCATGTGGCCATTTTTCTCTACATCAGAGATGCTCATGCATCTCTGCCCAAAGTTCCTCTTCCTGTAAAGGCACTGGTCAGATGGGATTAGGGCCCAGCCTAATGGCCTCAGAGTAACCTAATTACCTCTCTAAAGACTCTGTTTTCAACTTTGGCTGGTGTGGTTCAGTGGGTTAAGCACCCGCTTGTGGACTGAAAGGTTGTTGGTTCAATTCCCAGTCAGGGGACATGCCTGGTTGGGAGCTAGTCCCCAGTTGGGGGTGTGCAAGAGGCAACTGAAAAATGCTCCTCACTCCTTTTCCCTCCTTTCTCCTCTAATATTAAAACAAGTCTATCTCCAAATTCTGATCACATTCTGAGGGATTGGAGGTCAGGACACATGGGGTGTCCTCCATTGCTGTATTTCTAAATCTCAAATGTTGCCAGGTGGATACTAAAAGAAGCAGGGAGAGAGGAAGGAGTGAGGAAGGAAGGGTTAATGAGTGTAGGAGCACTGCGGAGTCAAGAGCTGACAGGCGTGCCCAGCTTGGTGATGGTGCTGTCCCTAGCAGCCTGTGAGGCTGAGTGAAGATCAAAATGAGCCTGTAATTACAAGAGGACGGCAGCAAGAGCACAGGGTCCATTGCTAGGGAAGGGCACTGGGGAAGAGGAATTAGGCGTTTATGAGTGCATTTGGACAAGGCGTCAGTTATCTACCCCTGCACGCCAAATCACTGAAAGTTTAGTGGCTTAAAAACCAATACGTATCATCTCGATGTGTATTATCTTTTCTGTGGGTCAGGATGTTGCTTAACTGGGTGCCTGTGATGCAAAGCGACTCATGAGGTTGCAATCAAGGGGCTGTAGTCCTGTCTGAAGGTTCCGCTGTGGGACAGTCCTCTTCCAAGTTCATGCGGTGACCTCCATAGGGGTGGCTGGAGGCCTCTCTAAGTTCTTGCCACGTGGGTCTGCTCACCTAACAGCTCACAGCATGTCTTCCTGAGGAAATAAGCGTGGGAGTGAGGGCAGTCCAAGGCAGGAGCCGTGGTTTTTTGTAAAATAATCTTGGAAGTGACATCCATTGCTTTTGCTATTCATAGAAGAATGTCACTAGGTCCAGCCCACACTCAGGGGGAGGAGAGTGCACAAGAGCATGACTGCCAGGAATCTGGGGTCATTGGGGACCATCGAGGGCCACAGCACCCTGATGCCAGGCTCCGGGGAAAAGCCCAGCTGTGCATTCCCCGTCACACAGAAACTATCACGTCAGCGTCACTGGCAACACCAAGACACTGAGACAGTCTGAATGCTCCTTAACAAGTGTGGCATTCTGTATACACTGGAATAATAAGAAAAAGTTCATAGAAAGTGTGTTATTTGTGTCCTTTGAAAGGCAGACACGAAGGTGGGATTAGATCTGCAAGATGGGGGGAAATGTCTGAGCAGTAAAGGGAGGAAGCCCTCCATTGGCCGGCCTGCAGGCCCGGTGCCAACAGGACCCTGTGAAGGAGGAGTGGGTAGGAAGAGGTTTGCAGGGCAGCACAGTTTCAAGAAATATTTGGCTAGGCTGCCAGGGAGTTCTTGAGTCAACGTCTCTCATTAAAAGAGGCCCACGTCTCACAGTGGTGGACTGGCCTTAGTGCCAGGGCCACACTCGGCCACTGGCTGGGAGCAGCAACCGGAAGGGTGGCCCGGGTGCCGTGCGTTTTCAGGCTGGCGGGTAACCAAACTAGATCCTCACGTATCCAGGTGAGTAAATCTTGAAGTCACGGTGTTGGGTGAAAAAAGCGGGTTGTCAGAGGATAGAAGCAATATGATACCACTTCAGTAAAAGTTTCAAACACACAAAACAATACGATACACTGGTCACGGGCACACAGTGTGCAGTAAAAAAGAAGTATAACAAAGAGGAAGGGAGCATGGGCACCGGACCCAGGCCTGGACACAGAGGGAAGGGGCCCCTGCTGGTGACGCCTAATTCCGAGGGTGCTGGGAGGCAGTCCTGTCCTGCAGGCTGTGCTTTACGGGGTGAGAGTTTTAGATACAGTGAAACAAGGGTGTAGACAGCCCGAGCCGTGCTGTCGTCTGCTTCAACTCCAGTCAGCAGACACCTGCTGACCACCTGCTATGTAGGTGTGAGCAGAGCTGGGGATGGAAGAGGCACGTTAGCACCTCAGGGAAGGAGCTGACAGCCTAAGGATTCAGACAGTCATGAAAACGAGCCTATAACTTACATCCGGGAGGGTGATGCACAGCTCCAGAAGCCTGTTCAAGGTACAGAAAGAGCAGGGAGGAGAGGAAGTTTTATCTCCCTCTGGGAGGGCAGACAGAGGGTAGCTGGCTGGGGTTCTGAAGACTGAATAGGAGTTTTCTTGGAGGGACAGTGGGGGAATGGTTGGTATTTACCTAGTGCCTACTCTGTGCCAAGTACTGTAAGTGCCTTACAGGTATTAATGCTTTTTGTTCTTATCATGACCTAGTAAAGTATGTACTGTTGTACCCCTGTTCATAGATGAGGAAGCCAAGGCTCATAAAGCGAAAGAAAGCTGCTCACATGAGGACTGAGTGGGGGAGCTGGGTCGAGTCCTCGGCAGGTCGACTCCGGAGTCTCTGTGCTGTATCATGTCCGTCTTCCTGCCTGTGGGGTGCTTGGGGTGACTTCCAGTAGGACCTGGATGATCTGGATCAGGGCTGACAAGAAATTCCACTGAACTGCACCACAAAGACATTGTTCTCCTTTTGATTCTTCTCCACTGCTTCTTATGCAATTGAGAAACTTGCTATTTTGATGCCAGTGTGCCTTGGATGCTCTAGACCATTCCTTAAATCTTCCTGGTGGCGACTGACAGAGAGAGAGGATAGAGGAAAGAGGGAGACAGTGGAACGCAGGCAACAGAATGAACCTGCTTCGTTTTGGTTGTAGTTCTACACAGGGTCCAGCAGGAATAATGCCCCCTTCTATTACATAAACATCCTTTATTACAAAATCATAAGCATATAATTCTGCACCATAACAGTATCACCCTCAAGCACACCACGTGACATTTTAGGTGAAATGTTCAAATTGCAAGACATTCACATACCCCACCAATCACAGTCGATGGCGTTACTTCTGCCGGACCCTGTATTTACGATTACTTATTGATGGCTAGAGATCTGGATTTACATTCAAGATAACGAAATAAAATCTCCTTTTGAGAACTGGCTGCTGTGGCTCAGTGGGTTGAGTGCAGGCGTATGAACCAAAATGTCACTGGTTTGATTCCCAGTCA